ACTTTTTGGACTAAAGTGTTCAGATAAAGCATATATTTTCAAGAATATTTTGGCAACTGGTTGTGCCAAACAAAATATCGTCCTCTGCTGGACATTTAAGGCCGATATCCGACATGGTAAAAGCACATACCTTGGCCCAATATCTGCCAACCAGTATATAATCTAGTCTATCTCTAGTTTTGTATCCTCCTCTTCAGCATTTAAGAAAAATGGCCTTGGACTGTTTCGTTCTGCTTACCGTAAGGAGGGTTTGATTAGTGCCTGGGACAAAAGCAGGTTTTTGATTTGAGACAATGACATAACATAGTACAAAGCTTCAAGAAAGGCAGTTTTGCTTAATACCCCCTCTTTATTGTATGCCTTATTGTGACAGACTTATTGCTGTATGAACAAATGAAACATGCCGTGTGGTGGATTAGTCTTGTAGGTGAAGAGCATAATTCCATTTTAAGATAAGACCTGTTGACAAAAGCCATTGAATGATGGATCAAATAAGTGTTTCTTAAACTGACATTTAAAATATCTCTGCACAATGCCTGAACGTTTAGCCCACATTTGTATTGTCATCAGGCAGCGTGGCTTTAATCCTAAATGGATTTGGACCGATTTCTTTGATGCTGCTGCAGATTTGGGGAGATTTAGTGCTGTTTGTTGAACTCAAAAACATGTGCTCAGACTAAGTGCAGTGTGGAGTAAATGACAGAGTGGAGGTGTGAGAGAGGAGACTGGAAGGCCTCGTCATCAGACACAAACCATCTGGAAAAACACAGCTATGGTCGGTTGATGCACAAGTTTAACCATTGGAACAACTCAAACCACAATAGAATTTAAAACACATTCTTGCCTCACAGTGACAAAGACCCATATTCTCAGGCAGGATGGGCCAATCTTCCAGCTAGGTACCACTCCTAAACATAATCAAGTTTTAATCAAGATATAGATTCAGTCATTTCTAACTGAAACGTGAAAATTGTTGAAGATTGATCAATATTTCAATCATATATTTCAATTCATATTTTTTTTTATTTGCCATATTGCCAAGCTCTAGAAAATCTGGAGATCTCTTACGCTGCACTGTGGTCATCTATGGGTTGTGACAGATTGACCCAGTTGCGTCAGTAATTGGTCAAATTTACCTCCAAGTTCAGTAAACGTGTAATATGTAACTTTTCCAGTGAAGGGTCCGTCTCCGTGGAGATATTATTGTTACACAGTAGGACATTAAACATTCATCTCCACAGAGACAAGCGCTGGGTCTGATGGCTGTCCAAAATTCAAATTGAAGTGACAAACCACAACAAACCATTCTTTGTTGTTGTAATTAATCATCTAAAATGAAGCAGTCTTCTCACACTGTTTACTTAGATACAACACCATTCAAAAGTGACACTACTTCAATATTTTGTGCTTTAAAAGGCAGCTTAAGAGGCAGTTTGTCAGAGATTTTCTATCTGGAGGGAAAGGAGGTTACCATGACACAAAAGCAGCAGGAATCACACAACCATGTCACAAAGCCAGTGCCACAATGTCAGAAGCAATTCATAGATATCAGCTTCCAATAAATGCAAGATTTTAAGGTGGTACAATATATTGAACGTAAAAATATAATTGCTATGGCAGTCCTAATTTTTCATCATTCTGAAATAATATTGTCCTAATACTAACATTTCAAACTCAAGAATAGACTCAAGAATAGATACCCAAATGATTTTACCATGTGGTCTTACGCAAGTACTCAAGATAGAAAGGTCAAATTTTATCCAGTTATGTGATTTTTATTTTATTTTTTTTCCCAGTATCGACACTTGCACAAATCTCCACTCTATCTAGTTTTGATACTCGTTTTAGTATTGATTAGTATGTGATTTTGAATACTATTGACAACCCTATTCCGAAACCCATTGGATAAACAAACTGATCTCCCAGCCTGGCCCTAAATGATCCAGTGTTGATGATGGACCCAGGTGAGAAGGTGGAACACAGCTGTCGAGAGTGGAGCAGTGAAGAGTGTGACAGCTTCAATCGATGCCGCGCTCAATAGACAAACAGCTCAGTCCAGAAAGAAACAGAGAGACAGAAGGAGAGAGCGAGACAGTTCACAAGTCCAGTGTAAACCTATAGGGACGGCCTGATGGGGCATGAGAGCGAAGTGGCGACAGTTAAACAAATGGGAGGAGTAATAACAGGCGCTGATAGAGGCTTTAGAGTGGGCATTATGACATGACACAACGCCAAAATCGATTCTTAATGTGTATTTTATGATATGGTTTGCTTGTTGAGGATGTAAAAATAAAGTTAATGATATGAATATTACTCAATTTTACATTTTGTAACTGAAAATACATATAATAATATAAAAACCTGGAAGCAAAGCAAACAAAGCATTATTACTTAAACATATCAGGTACATACTTTTTTAGACTTAGACAAACTTTATTGATCCACAAGGGAAATTATTTGGACACAGTAGCTCACATATCACAATATATTTTAATATTAGGGGTGTAACGATATCCAAGTCTCACGATACGATATTGTCACGGTACGATATTTACTGTGATAACGTGGGAAAGCTCACGATATGGTAGGGAGGCTCACAATAAGGAATGTTACCATATCCAAATCTCTCAGTTCGATATTTTCACGATATACATCTCACGGTACAATATTTATTATGATATTTTATGGAGTTTAACAAAACCGTTAATACACTACTTTTTCCTGTCAAAATGCCTTGACAAGACTTTATCCAAAGAACGAAGACTTAAAAGTGTTTAGAACTGTTATTTCTTCTAGTAGTCTGCACTGAAATGGAGCAAAGGATCATGGTCTATGTAGTTTCCTCTGTCTTTTTTAGCTGTTGCTGCACCATAACTCTTCATTTAAGCAAAGAGACTTGTAATTCAATATATTGTGATGGTCCACGATATTACTGTGTGAGAACTTTGACGATACGATATCACGATATTTTTTGTTATTGTTACATCCCTATCTAATAACAAAGAGTAAAACATATAATTGGACATATTAAATTCTAAATAAGTAGCAAAAGAGAAAGCAAAAGGCAGGTGTCAATTAAGGCGTAATTCTCTACAGATTAATTTTGACAGCAGGTCTATAAAAGAGCCGCTTGGATTTCAGTGAGCCAAATAATTACTAACTGAAGTTATGAATGCCAAACAACAGTGATGATAATAATAATGGAATTTATAGTGCAGTTTTATTGCACCTACTACTAGTACAGGTGCATGACACAGAATATTGTTAAGTATTATAGATCTGTATTCACACAGAGTTGAAATAGATTATTATATTAAATAAGGATGTAACAATATGGATGTAATAATAATGAAATATCGTGATATATCATCAAAGTTCTCACAATAATATCGGGACCATCACAATATATCGAATTACAAGTCTCTTTGCTTAAATTAAGAGTTATGGTGCAGCAAAAAAAGAGCAGGAACTACATAGACCATGATCCTTTGCTCCATTTCAGTGTAGACCACATGAAGAAATAACAGTTCTAAGCACTTTTTAATCTTAGTTTTTTGGATTAAATCTTGTCAAGCCATTTTAAGAGGAAAAGTAGCATATTAGGCTCCACAAAATATCGCAATAATATCATATTGTGAGATGTATATCGTGAAAATATCATACAGAGAGATTTGGATATTGTTATGTCCCTAATCGTGAGCCTCCCCACCATATCGTGAGCTTTCCCACGATATCGCAATAAATATCGTACCGTGATGATATCATGTCGTGAGACTTGGATATCATTACACCCCTAATATTAAATGCTAGATGCCCTTCCAGACACACAACATCTTCTTTTTACCAGATTTGGCACTGGCTCAAAGAGTACCCAACATTTGCTTGTGCCCTCTTGTGGCCAGAAGCTTAAACAACAAAACAATAAAAATGAAAACCTTATATTTACATTAACCTAGTAATGTTGAAACAGAAACGAAAGACCAAATCCAGTTCCATTCATTCAAGCACTGACTAAATATTTCACAATAGGGACTTGGTTATAAGCTGTAAGGTCCACACAGTTATCAATAGCAAGGTGAAGATTTATTGAATGCAGTGACCTCGTTCACTTTAACACACTCGTCTCCCACGGATCTGAGCCAATTTATGTAGGGGAAACCGCTGGACTCTAAAACACATAAAATAATCTCCCAAATTGGCTGGAAAAAAACGTTGTCATTTCAGTTTATCGCCACTGCAGCATTATGAGGTGTGCAATATCCTCTCCTCCTTCCTCCTGCACCTCATTTGGCGCTACACTTCGCATCCATTAAACCTATAATCAATCAATAACATCGATACGCCATCTCTGTCACCGTCACTGCAGGAATGGACAGCGTGACAACAACAAACCGATCGTAAACACTTCAAAATTACGCCCTTTTCCCAGCAATGCCATCAACGTGTTTTGTTTCCCCAACGCCAACCTACTGCAAGATGGTGCCAAAAAAATGAAAGCGCAGAATAAAATCATAATCTGGATGTGATTATTTGGGGAAAGCAAGGGTAAGGGAGCAGGAGACACGTTGGAAACCGCGAGAAGCAACGCCCTGCCCTTCGTTCAGAGTCAAAAATTCTAGCTCCTAGCCCACAGCGTGCACACCCCAAGCGAGCCCTTTTTTAAAATGAAAAGTCACAATTCTGGCAGCGGCTAGAGTGATTTTCTTAGCCTTTGTTAACCATGTACGTGCTGCGTAAAGGCGAGTACATTTGGAGAACACGCTGATCCTGCCACACTGGTGCCAAGGGGTGTTTTAACCGTATGCCATGTGCGTAAAATGACAGTTTAACTTAAGAAATGGTTGCCAAATAGCGTGGTAGCACTCCTAGCTTTTCCATAAAGAAAACAGAAAAGCATGCATCAATCTATCCAGGCATGTCAAGGCAAACCGCACTATGGGGCAACACAAAAGATGGATTGCGTTAAACAGTGTTGCAGGATTTTTTTTTTAAAGTTTTACCTTTAACTTGAGTTTCATATTCAGCAACTATCTCCTTATCCTTTCGGAATTTCGCCGGAGACGTCATGGCTGAGTTTTTTGGGATCAAACCTCCTCTCTCGCCCCTCGCTCGCAGTGGATTCAATTCTCGATCAATCGGTGAAAATTTGGAGAAGGGTGTCGCTCCGAAAATGAAGGGGTAGTAATGGGGAAAACAGAAGCCAGGGGCGGTGTATGGGTCCTCGGAATGCCCGCGGATCCGTATTGTGTGTCCCAGCCAGGTTGTGCACACTCACTCACTCAGGGCGCATTGTGAGTTTGGCGCTGCTGCTGCTGCTGTTGCTGAGTCGATCCCATCTGCCCCGACGACCAACCTCCTCCACCAAACCGGTTACAGCGCAAACAACTTCCAAGTAAAACAGAGTCATTCCACGCGTAAAAGACAAATAGCGGTAACTTCTAAGACGCGCAAGTTGGAAATAAGTTGTTAAGCGGCTCCACTCGACTCGGCTCCTTCCGTCCGCTCTGCACTGATCACCACCTCCTTTCCCCTAGCGAGGAAGAGAGGAGGACCCAAGTTGAGCCAAAGGGGTTGGTCAGTCAGCAGCCCACTAAGCCCAGTACTATGCAGCTCATGGAAATTTGAGCAAATATGGACAATATATTGCAAATGTTAAATTATAGTGATTATTAGTGCCACAAAAACAAAGTAACCTCATGAATTCATGTTTTATGATGATTATGGTCAATCTGTTATGTTGCCACGTTGGCCTATTTAAAAAAAAAGTACTATAGTTGGTGCGTAAAATGAGTCTGAATTTGAACCAAAAGCAATATACAAAGATAAATGAATAAAATAGGTTACTGCAATATCCAATTTCAGAGTTAGGCTTACATGTACTTTTGTTTTTTATTCACTAGTTATAATATAAAGGTGTTCTCATGTATATTACTGTCAGAATTGCAAAAAGTACCAAGCAACTCTGCTGTACCGCTGCTGTTTCATTATTTGAATGACATGTAAGCTCGCCAATTGATATTTAATAACTAAAAAAAAAAAATTAAAAGTAAAATTGTTTGTGTGTAAAATTATTTGTAAGTCTAAATTTGAACAAAAAGCAATATACAAAGATAAATTAATCAAATAGGTGGTTACAATGTCTAATTTTAGAGTTAGGATGTAGTTTTTTTTTTTTTTTTTTTTTTTATACTAGTTATAATATAAAGGTGTTCTGATTTTTTACTGGCAGAATCGCAAAAAATACCATACACCTCTGCTGTTTCAATCACTATACACGTTAAAACCCAATATAACAGCTACTTTCTTTGTTAGAGATCATTTGAATGACACGTAAACTCACCAATTGATATTTAATAACTAAAAAAATACAACTAATCAAATTTATCTAAAGCTGTAGATCAGACCAATAGCGTGCCTCCTTCTGAGCTCCGACCAATCAGAATCGAGCTTGCGGTCTTTTAAAGCTAGTCCCAGGAAGTCGCCTTTAACACCAGGAAGTTGTATACAAACAAAGCTGACAGATGCGTTAGCTGTTAACCAAATTTGAATGGATCGCTCGCTATCCCCGTGAAAGAGACGGGTTAGTCGCTCATTTCAGACGCTTAACTACCAAAAGAGAAGATTGCATTTAAACTTTTTACCTTGTCGTATTGGAAACGTGAAATATTTGCCCGATTGTTGACGAGCTAGCGTAAATTAGCTACCCGATCCGTCGCTTGAGGTTTAAACAAGGGCACAAGCATCAACGCTCAACACGTTACCTCAAAATTACCGCTTTTCCTGCTTTAAATACGAATACAGGTTCGCGTTTTGTGATCGGATCGCTTTTTCGGGACTGTTTATTATTTCTTGAAGACTGGACGAGTGGAAGAGGGACGCAGCGTTTAGCAGGATAACAACTATGTCTACATCCAACGCTAATTTTAAGAACAAATGTGTAAGCCAGGTGAACTGCATCTTCTGCGACAGTCTGCTCTGTACGAGGGGGATGAAAGCTGTACTTCTTGCAGACACCGAGGTGGAACTGTTTTCGACCGATATTCCTCCAAACAGGTGAGTGCTAATGCTAAAGCTAACCTTTGTTTGGATAGGTTGCCAAGGCTGTTATGATTGTGATCGCTACATTATTCAAATATTTTAGATGTCTACTTTGCTTTGAGGTGAAAAGAGTAGACAGAAGTGTGAATCAGTACCGTTACATCAAAATTATATGAATCCAGAGCAAGTAACAGTAGTAACAAAATACTAACTACCAAAGACTTGGAGAAACTGATCCATAAGGGAAATTATTTGGACACAGTAGCTCACACGTCACAATATAATATAATAACAAAGAGAAAAAATATATATAAATAGTAATAATAAATTCTAAATAAGTAGCAAAAAAAGATGGCAAGAGACAGGTGTCAACTTCTATAAATGTATATGTAGAAGTCAAAATAAAATAGAAAAATAAGTAATAAATTATAAAGAGGTCATAGGAAGACAGTGCAAAAATGATGATGATTGACAGGACAAAGGGTTATCTGTTACATAAGAATGATTTGTTGTACATCTGTATGGATTATGGTCTAATTGTAGTCCTGAACAAAGGATTGACAGTATTTTGGAAGTACTGCAATTGCTCATGAGTAATGTAGTAGCTTGGCATGTGATGTTACATTTGACTGCACATGTAACTAAATTATTAAAATGTGCATTTTTCCTATTTGCATACAAGAAAAAGGAGGAAATGTTTTCGCACTTTGTTTACATAAAGGGTTTGACAAATACAGACTCGTGATAGGTGGTTCGAACAGCCAAAAAAAAAAAAAAAAAAAAAAACTAAACTAAAATAGATTGCGACTTACCATTACTTGAGTAGTTTGCTTCTTTAGATACTATATGTTGTGATAAATTAAATCTTGGAACCGGAATCTACAAGTTACTCAATGTGATTACTTAACAACACCTTTTTATACTTTTTTTTTTTCTTTTTCATGTTGTTGGCAATGACAAAGACGCTGTTTGTACATGTTTAATCTGTTAATGTTTGTTTTCTCTTTACATGGACCCCCTCCCCCCAAAGAACTGTTGACTTTGTGGCCAGCTGCTACTCCACCGAAAGCTGTAAATGCAAACTGCGAGACATAGCCTGCCTCAAGTGGTACGTGATCCCCCTCCATTACCCTACAGGTGTTTTATAAGACACACCATCTGCTGATATGGAGCTAATTAAGTCATGTCAGTAAGCATAAACGTCAGATGCTGCTCTTTATTGCTCATTGCCGGTGTTTCAATGTATTGCTAGTAACAACAGGTCATTTTTAATAATTTACCTTGTTGTTTTTTATCTCGTAGCTCATTTCCAGTTGACAATATGTAACTTTATTATTAAGCAAATACCATTATAACATCATGTTGTAGAAACTAACAAAGTTACAACTTACTTGATACATGATATTTGTATTTCAATATTAATTTAATGCAAACAAATAAATGACAATTGAGCAGAATTATGTGTTATATAAAATGCGTAAAAGCTCCACTGTTAAAACAATGTAGATTATTCTTAAGCTGAAATCAACAAAACCAAAATAAAGGCGTATAATATTTTGGCAAAACACAATACCACACGTTAGATCTAGTGTACACAAACGTTATTACTGAACAGGATTGTAGACATGTCTCATTGTACCAGGTCAAAACAAACTCATAATAGAGCTACAAGCCTGACGTTGGCATTTTTGGATTTGTGCCTCTTTAAACTGCTGACATGCGATTTTCTTTATTCCCTCTCTCCCCCCTTTCCACACGCCCTCTTTTCTCCCCCATTCTCCACCTCGCTCCTCATATCTCTCCCCTCCCCCCTCTCCTGCACTCCTGCTTTTTCTAAAATTCTCTCACCCACTCTTCACTGTCCCCCACTCCCTAATTTTGTTTTCTCCTCTCTTCCCTCTTCCATCTCTCTTTCTTCCCTCCCTCTGTCCTCCTCGTCTCCCTCACTACTCCTCACTACCCCGTTCTCTCCCCCTTTCACAGTGGGAACGTAGTGGGCTATCACGTGGTGGCCCCCTGTAAGCCCTGCCTGCTCTCCTGTAATAATGGACACTTCTGGATGTTCAACAGTGACGCTGTCTCCACCCTCAACAGACTGGATTCAACAGGTCCGATTCTGCTCCACTAACTGTGATTCATGTTGCATAACCATTTGTATGTATGAAGCATATTTAGCCCGGAGAAAAAACATGATGGACAGGGCAAAGGAAAAGCACACTCCTACACATTTCTACTGCGATATTTAACAATACAAAGACAGTCAGGAACTTTTCTAGCTATTAAAAGTTTGAATCAGTGGAATAAATCAAAGTTTCATCATGAAACTTTTCTAACCCAGTGGTTTCATAGGCTGTGTCCACACAACAATGCGCCTGGATTTTTTTTTAGCGAGTTTAAAAAAAATTTGCATCCACACACGTGCCGGTTCAGTAAATACTCACGTCCAGACGACAACGGAGCACAAAGTGAAAACGATGCAATACATCTGCCACACCTGTATTTGGTGCTTTTAACAATGATAATAATATTTAATAATGCAAATCTCATCACTGTTTATTAAACTTTAAGGTAATTTAGTCTATTTTAGATTTATCCTAGAAATATAGCCATTTTGTTTTGCAAAAGTTAAACATAAGTCACAGAAAGAACACACATATTCCACTGAGTTGTGTCCTTTAGTCCGACAGAAGCTGAACCACATCAGCACACAATATCGAGCTGTTTTTTGAGCGCTCAGTTTATGCAAATTAGCCATGCAGTTTTAAGTTTTGTTTCTGTAAAACATAAACACATATGCCAGAGCTGTGTGGATAGGGAAGATTTGCGGACACAAAAACAACGTGTCTGGACGCAGATCATTTCTGATACGGTGGTATGCAGATTCGTTCCAGTGTAAACGTAATCTTTGTTACTGATCCGTGTGCGTAATCTGCGTGGTGTGTGTTGTTAATATTGGCGCTGGCAGTGTGTCTCAGTTGCTGGGTGATGGGAGCGGCTCCGTAGATTACACCTATCCCGTTTTGGCAATACTCTTGCAGTCTGTGGAGGCCAGTTCGAGGGCTGCAATATTTGCAGCATCGGAGGACTCTGATGATGATGCGGTCGTGACGTCATCATTTTCCAAAACCTGTGGTTTGTTTGTCCACACGACAACGCGACGCCGGCGTTCTCAGATTTCTCCACTCTGGAACCTGTTTTCAAAAAACTGTTTTTGCCCACCAGAAAGGCCAAAACGAATACAGACTTCACTGTTTTGATCAAAAAACTTTGTCGTGTGGAGGGCCCCTTAGTCTAGAAAGTTCCACTGTATGGCATTAAACATGTCTATCTTCCACTTAGTCAGTCACAGGTCTAAGTTTATTGCTAAAAACATACTTTGAAATTATGCATTCTTGTGAGCATGCTTGCCTCTCCACAGATCTGGCGTGTTACTTGCTTGTTTCAGTGTTTCATACTGTAGAACAAAGCAATAAGAGACCCTTTAAAATATTATCCTTTTTGATCTGTCTTTTTTTTGTATATATCCAGGAAAGTAGCTTGAAAAGTTTCCTGAATACATTTGTGAACATTTTTTGCAAGTGTTTTTTTTGTGTTTTTATGAACTTACTTCCAACTGAGCTGTCTTGTATTTGAAGAATAGCAATAAGTCTATACAATTATCTAATAACAAAGTTTCAATCTTTTCAATCTTCTTCTTTCCTGTACACAGGCCTTAACCTCCTCCTCTGGGGCGACCTCCCAGAGCTCGACGACAGCGAGAACGAGGAATCAGAAACCCCGTCAGAGGAAGAGTGCATCAGGTAAACAGGAAATGGACAGATGTGACTGAAACTTAAAGCACCAACCACCAGAAAGAAGATGAAGAAGAAGAGGAGGAAGAGGAGGAGACACATGTACAGTAAAAACCATGCTTCAGCTGAGAGGGACGAGCCTTAAAGAGTAATTCAACACTTAAATGCAGCAAATGCAAAATTGTAAGGGGTTCTGGTTGACTTATTTTTACGGTACTACTACTTGAAATCTACAAAACAAACTTGCGCGTTTAACCACAGCAAATTCCAACCCTGGTGTTTTAAATACTACCTTCAAAAATATATTTTCTTTACTAATGGAACAATATCTCTAATTTCTAGTCATTCAGTTGTTGTGTTTCAGTTGACATCACAACATTCTCTACGCCTATATTGTTTGATACCAATGGGGGCAGCTAGAATGAATGAATGAATGAATTGTTCAAATCCAGATTTTTATTTAATACTGTGAGTTCTTGGGTCTAATCACTAGTAGAAATGACTTGGTTCAATATTTTTGAACCTAGAATTTACCTTTTGGATATTTCCTGGCAAAAGACAATGTTATTAATGGGAAAAACTTACTCTTGACCCAATCTGGAATGTAGGACCTCATCACGTTCTACAATTCTACAATCAAAATGAACTTTATTTTTTCACACCAAAAACCACATCACCTCAAAACGAACTGTAGCAGTGCTTACCTCAAATACTTCCGTGCAAGTTTAAAGTAAAAATGTATTTATTATACATTGCTTCTGGTTGTTCTATTTCGGGCAACCTCTTCCTGTAAGCTGACACAAATTGCTGGATTGCCAATTGCTGGTAATTGTATTTGTATAATGTAATTTCTGGGCACTATTACTGACAAACTTGAATGTACGCCGACAAAGCTGGTTGCCAAATCCTTATCTAGTCTAATCATCAACGGGTTACTATGTCAGAGTTAGTTTTCTTATTTTTGCAAAAGTGAAAAGTAAATTTGTGAGCTTCCTTGCTTGAATTTTGAAGGCTGAACTTGGAGTTGTGTTTTATTTCATTAATCTTTTAACACACAAATCCTGCATATTTAGGCTTAGTAGTTCTTCTCTCAAATGGAAAACACTCTGATCCATTTTGTGATTTCATGTTGCAATAGACTTTTTTTTTCCACAATGGCCGGAAATGCCGCCTTGAACTTCTGGTTAATGCTTTTCTATGGCAAAATGTCTTGTGAAAATGTCTCGCGTATTCTCCACCAGCTTCATACATCTGCCCCATCTTCAAAACTTCAACCAACAAGGTCCACAAAAAATAAACAATCTGTCCATGAAGAATTTATCCACAACTATCAAGATAAGAAAGACGAAAGCTTAAAGACGAACAACAATGACGCATTAGTGAATTACTGAACACAACTAAGAAGAATATTTAGCAATTGTGGACCTTGTGGGAAGATTTGGTGATGAGGCAGGCAGATTTATTAAGCTGGTGGAGAATACGCGAGGCATTTCCACATTGCTGACTTGAAACCTACCGCTTCATGGTGGAACAGAGTATTTTGAGCATTGGAGATGCAGATAGACTAGTATTTAATAGTTACTCAAACATGTGTGAATGAAAAAAAAAACAACAACTCCAGGTCTGTTTTCCATAAGATAACATTATAACACGACTAAAAGCTCACATGAATCAATTGTGTGTCATATAGGATCTTTAATATCTGTATCAGCTAGACAAATATTGTATACCGGTATCGGCTCAAAAAATCCACATTGGAACATTCCTAATCGGTACAATCCCTTTAAGTGTTGAATTACCCTTTACTTCATGTTTATGGCCTTCTTCATCATCACCATCACTGTTAAAAGCACAGATATCCTCTTCGCTCCCATCCTCTCTGCTGTTTTTGTACCGCTGCGTATGGACTAAACAAAACGAGGCTCAACCCAAAACCACTATAGTGCTGTTTCCGATCATACTAGGAGGTCTACAACGCCTACAAGTGAATGCTTTCTCTCTGCTGCTTTAGTCCGGTCCTTTTTCCAAAAATATATATAAATATATATATTAACAATTAACACAACTTTTTAATATTTCTACAGTAACCTCTCTGTACTATTAATATTAAGACTTCCATTGACATAAGGCTTAATACATGATATCTATATGGTCTATATATTTTCGGTGTGCCTGATTGCGGACTGACAGTTTGTGTGTTTTTGAATTTTGTGAATGGGGGTAAAGTAGCACAAATATTTATTCTAATATTTAATTTAAGGGCATATATGATAGAATAACCTATACCAGGATGCTGTACTGACAAGGTGATTTTGATACTAATACAGACTGGTGCATTGGTGACAACTCACTGAAAAATCAGATAACACGTACTAATGTTCTCATGTATGGTTAATTTGAATGGGATTTCTTATTATAATACTAAACTAATATATAGTATTAACAAATAAGAAGGTGGAATTGTTAATCTACTAATGACTAACGCAGGTACAACGTGTTTCCATTGAGTTGTATGTAGCAGCTTAATTGTAGCACTGCACACGAAACACCAAAATTATCAAAATATTTCGTTTTTGGGGCACAAATTTTCATAAATGCATATACGTTTTTCAGACAAGTACAGTTTTTATTTATTTATTCATCCATTTTCATAAACGTACACAAAGCCAAGTGTATATGTATACTGGTAGCTGATTTCCTGTATTTTACTTTACAGGATTTTCCAAAATTAAATGAAAAAATATCTTCATTGAATACATTTCCAGAATTATACAAATTTCTGTATTTTGCAGTGAGTGACAATTTGTGCTCCGTTTGATTTGGGATACAACTCATTATTATAATATTATTTGTATAGCTCCTGATCTTAAAGGGACAGTTCAGAATTTTGGCCATAGGGTCTCATTTCCTAGTGAGCCAGAGTGTTGGAGACGTGTGGAGACACTTTTTGAAATATTCCATCCAGTCCTTGTATTTGGAGAGGTTTCTGGTGCTAGGCTAGTGCATGTCAATGGCCATAGTTATGTCTTACCCACTCCACAAAACACCCGAAGCAAATCTATTATTACACCAGACTGTCCATGTGAATGTCTGTGTTGATAGAATAATAGAAGAAGTAGAACTAATCTCGTATCACTTGAATCGTCGTATGTTGAGGGACTATTTTCTCAGCAGCAGCGAAATTTTACTGTGCTCCAGTTAGTTCTGATGATATGAACGTGGCCCAAGCCCCGGGTTTCCAAAATGGCCACCCATTCAAGTCAGTTTGAGTTGAGAAAAAGTTTATGATCTAAAAATAGGTGAAAATCTCCACAAAATCTGACATTTTTGAAAGTTGTAGGTGCCCTGTCAGACGAACACGAGTAGTTTGTGATTACATTGCGCTCTATGAGGAAAAAAATCTTCTCTCGGCCCATGGGATTTTTTCCGCTGTAGTACCAGTGAGTGGCCACTACTTCAACTTGAGGCAGCTACAAGCTAGCAATATCCTATCCAGTTATTTTAATAGATCTGTGACGTGGCCATATCTGGAACAGGCTTCTTCATGTGCTCTATGTATCGCTATGGCAATGGTGCTAGGTGATATCAGTTTGCTGCTGCCAAACTTTCTATCAGGAAGTCCAACTCACTGCTGCTGCTCAGACATAAATCCTTCAAATGCAAGGTTGGTTTTACTTCTAAAATTATTCTATTGACACAAACATTTACATGGACAGTCTGGTGTAATAATAGATTTGCTTTGGGTGTTTTGTGGAGTGGGTAAGACTGTTTTTAGTGGCAGGCTAACTATGGCCATTGACATGCACTAGCCTAGCACCAACAACCTTTCCAAATACAAGGACTGGATGGATTATTTCAAAAAGTGTCTCCACACATCTACAGTACTCTGGCTCACTAGGAAATGAGACCCTCCAAAATTCTGAGCTGTCCCTTTAAGGCAATTAAAGCCTTTAGAATTGTCTTATTTTGAAAGACCAAACGCCCAGGACTGCATTGAAGCACAGTGCATTTGCTTAATGGGTAATTTCAATGTTACTTTGTTGTTAATGAAGTTGTCAACCGCTAATTGGCCTTTTAGCAGCCACAAGTGCGTACGCCATTTTAAAACACAAGACTATATCTGTACGATTATTAGCTGTACGACAATTGCCTTGATTATAGTCTTAAGTTTAATTTAAGTTGTGGTCCACATTTTCAAATACCCTTTACTGACCTGCTACACTTGCACACCAAATAATATTTAATGTATTCTTAACGATGACTAGTATTTATTTAAATTACAAACCAAATATAGAAATGATAATAATATAATTTACTTAACTTTTTTTTGTTTTGTTTACGGACTTTGTTTACAGAGCTGTTTGTTTTTGTGTATTTAATATTACATTTGTGACTTTTGTTCATAAGAAGTGACTGGGTGTGTACATTGAAGCTTCCTCTGGTTAGGATCATTTAACGGTTGTAAATTATGTGAGGCCCTGCTAAAGATGTATATTTTGAAATTGCACTGAAACTGAATTGTTAGTTTGAAAGAAATTATTTGTTTTGTATGCTTGGTAAATTAATAAACTTTTTTTTTTCTTTGACTTTGAAATCCATGGTGTGTTTTCATATGGGTGTATCGCAGTAACAGCAAGGACATGCACGCTCCACTTAAAGACATCTGGAGTCTAACCTGCAACCACTTTACCGAGAGGTGGAGACGGGATAACCACTCTGCCACAGTAACACAGTATATCAACTTTCTGGTGACATAAACATTTTCATTTTGTTTTAAAGGGCCCATGTTAAATGAGTTTCTGATCAATCCATGTGTCATTTGTTCATTCGTTTTTCAATATAAAACCAAAATATTCATTATTTGTCTCCAAAACCAAAATGAAAAAACAGATAACGATTTGTTTTTTCAGTTTTCGATTTTGTGTTTAAATGAAAAATGGAAAAAATGGATAACAGCCGTTTCCGTGACTTAAACTGCAATGCCGCACTTTTGTGCTGCATACAGACTGAACCAGGACTGAACCAGGTCCGACCAGACCGGGACCAGAACTGAGGCCGCGATCCAGGCTGGTACCACACCAGGGCTGAGACCAGGACTGAGGCTGGGACCAGATCAGGACCAAGCTGTGATTCAGACCGGGACTGAGACCTTGACTAGGCCGGGACCAGACCAGGACTTGCAAAACTTTAGGGGGCAGTAGTGCTACTTGGATATACAGAAATTATGCAAACTTGTCCTTCTGGTGCTCTTCAGGGATCAGTCTCAAATAAAAAACTTGAGAAAGCTGAGGCGCTCCAAAAGTACAAAATAATTAAAAGCCACATACCACATGACAGATAAAGTTAAAATCATGCCAACACCTTTCAGCTGTTCGGCCTTCATCAGGGCAAACTGTTTGCCCGAAACGCATTGGTGTGATTTTAACTTTATCTGCCATGTGGTATTAAGGGCTTTAAATTATGTTTTACTTTTTGAGTGCCACAACTCCAGGTATGTTTTTGAGAAGGTAACAAGCTCACAGGAGTATATTTGCATATTATAGGACCTTTAAAAGCTCCCAAAGAACTGATACAAAACTAAATAAACTGTTTTTGTGTTTTTATTGTTCATCTTACTCTCATTTTGCTTTTTTGTACAATACTTACACCTCAACCAAGCCATTCATAAGCATGTTTTAATACAACTAGAATGGAAATACTAACCAAAACTGTATTTATTTTAATCCATATTTCCTGTATACATGCACACTCCGCTGTCTGAACTATAACTTGTAAAAGCTGTAGGACTAGGCTAACCACTCTGTCACTTTTCAGACTTACATAATGTTTCAATTCATTTCAAAATCTGCACACACTAAAATACACAGACCCTTCATTGACCATGCAAAGTTATGAAATCTTCCCTGCCTGAACACGTACCAGGTTTTTTAGACAGTGCATGAAGATACATTAGGATATCTCTGTAGAAATAGTTGTGGTTTTGCTCTTGAGTTATTTGATCGACTTGCGTAACACTTTATCTGGACCATCTCACATTCTCGAAGATGTGCTTTGAGATTTTAGGCCAGAAAACACTTGTAAAATGGAAAGAATAAGCGGCTATGCGCATACGTGACAGATACAGGCAGTACTCTTTGAAGTACATTGGCAGGATTTCACGTTTTTCTAATTATTCCCCGGTGAGATGATAGCTGTGGTTTTACGTCAGTTAAGCGAACTTTTGTGGAGAAAAGTTGAGTGCAAAAATTCACCAACAGGCTCCTACAGGACGACATTCATTCTCCCTACAACTGTACAACAACTCACCCTTCTATAACAGATAATACTCCCTACAACTGTACAAATACTCACCCTTATACAACAGATAATACTCCCTACAACTGTACAACAACTCTCCTTAATTTAAGAGATAATACTCCCTACAACTGTACAACAACGCACTCTTATGTAACAGAAAATACTCCCTAAAACTGGGTCCGGTCAAGTGGTAACGGAGGGAAACGGGCAGATTTTTTACATTCAAATAGCTCTTATTCAGAAACTAGAGGGATTATTGAAATAAGTAAAGTATCAGAATGTAGGAAAGAGTTACACTCCAGCAGGGTAAAGTTAAACCTGTGATATTCTTTCAAGTTGTTGACAAAAAAATTTAAAATTCATGTAGCACTTTTTGGGCAATAACTACAAACAGTGATAACTAGCGGTTCTCACTTACATATCCTTAACAAACTGGTTTGAATATTCATGTAGTTTTCTACCATATGGTACAAGATTAGGTTGAAAAACCTCTTACTTTTTGACTAATGAGATTTTTTAGTAAGAAAGGTCATGGTAACGGAGGAAAAAGTAACGGAGTGAAAATTGTGCAAGCAAGTAGAAGGAGCATGATTTTGCATAATTTGTCAGCTTTTTTCTTCCAAATACTTTAATATTACTTCAAAATGAAAGGTAACTATTTCTATAAAATATGTCAGTCCTTCCAAGCAAATTTTTATCATTTTAAACACTTTTTTTTTGAAAAATCATGTACCTTCATCAACAGCTCAAAGATCGAATAACACAAGATATGATGAAATACATCTATTTATTTACATGATTTGCAAGGCTTTGAAATTTGGGAAATAATTTTTGTTCCATGTTGCATACATGGTATGTTTAAAGGGATAGTTCGGATTTTTTGACATGAATCTGTATGTCATCCCCGTGAGCAGTGTCGTGCATCCACACTGACTTACCCCCAACAGCGTCCGGTGAACCGAGATACTGGCTGTTTTCGGTGCTGACGAAAGTAGTCCGGCAAGTTGAATGGGAACAGTAAAATAAAGCGTTTTTCTTCTCAAAACAATATGTGTTAAAAAGAGTGATACATTTGCATCACAAAACCATCATCCTCAAAAAGTCAGACCTCATAATCGCTTGCCACTATTTTCTTTCCGTTCGTATCACTCCGCGCTGCCGCCATGTGACAGCCGCGCACGGATCCATCACTTTCTGCAGTTGTTTGGCAGTGTTTACATGCGCAGACCGCCGCGACGTGAGAGAGCTAACGTGAGAGCTAGAGTGATAAGTATATAAGTTTGTATAAGATACATAAGAATATATCTAAAAAATGGTGTGAACTCTTGATTATCCAGGCTGTGAACCAGGCGCGGCTGTCACATGGCGGCAGCGCGCAGTGATAAGAAAGGAGAGAAAATAGTGCAAAGCGATAATGAGGTCTGACTTTTTGGAGGACGATGGTTTTGTGATGCAAATGTATCACTCTTTTTAACACATATTGTTTTGAGAAGAAAAACGCTTTATTTTACTGTCCCCAGCCAACTTGCCGGACTACTTTCGTCAGCACCAAAAACAGCCAGTATGTCGGCTCACCGGACGCTTTCGGGAGTAAGTCAGTGTGGATGCACGACACTGCTCACGGGGATGCCATACAGATTCATGTCAAAAAACCTGAACTATCCCTTTAAAACGTATGTAACTTTAGAACCAAAAATGGTACAGAAAAAAGGTAAACAGTTTCATAAACTAGAGTACATATGCTATCCGTTGAATACATTTTTATATCAGATGCATTAACTTGAATTTTTGGCCTTGCTGTATACTTCTGCTTGAACGGGCCCAACTGTACAACAACTCATCCTTATGTAACAGATAATCCTGTCAATCATTATTTCATCTTTGCACTGTTTCTCCTTAAGAGCTCTTGTATATAACTGAGATATATTTGTATTACCATATTTCTATTTTTTTATGCCTTATTGACACCAGTCTATTTCTATTTTTGTTATTTATTATTTCCATTTATATTGTTACTCATTGGCTACATTTACATGATGTTTTTTTAATTCCAATTTAATTGTTAGATTTAAATAGTTTGCAATTAAATTATTATTTTTATGTTGTTGTTTTTTTTAATATTTTTTGTGACTTACAGTGTGCTATATTATTAAAAACAATTCCATTATCACATTTTTTGCCCCCAAAAAGACTCCTACCTACTACTTACTGATTCGGTTATTTAACAGTACTCTTATATGTACTTTTACAGCAAAGAATAAAGTAAATACTAATACAATTAAATATTTAATTTCTCTACTCTAAAACATTTAGGTATAATACATTTTCATCTTTCAGCAGATAGATAACAAACAGCTGACATGCCATCATTCTAAATAAGGTCAAATTATGCCTCTACTCATTTATGATTTTGAATTAGAGATCTTTATGTAAAAAAATACATTGTTTGAACAAAGTTATTGTTATAAATGCCTCTTCTGCAAAATACTATGAAGAAAAAAAAAGGTTATATTTAAACTATGATATCTTTATAGTATGTAGTATTTGTATTTTCCAAATTAAATTGTTTAATCTTCTTTGTTCATTAAAAAAAAAATATATATATATATTCTTAACATTTTGTTTCAGGGTATCTTTTCTAGGCCACAATCAAAAAGGTTAAATAATGCAGCCACTGGAGGTTTTTTTATTTACTTGAAGTTAAAGTCATTTATACTTACTCCCAAAGATGTATCACTGCAAATAATGTAGCTGTAAGAGCCAAACTATTGTGAGCTTCACTTTTCATATGAAACTCCATAATAATGCCCCAAACCTCTGTTTTGTCTGCAGTGTACCTGACTGTACACACTCATTCAACAAGTTTGCGGCCTTCAGGTCTCACATTTACACAGACAATAAGAGGCATCTAGAGGCAGTCAACATCAAAGAACAAAGACATGTCAGATTCAATTTAAGAAAAAAACATTTGCAGACAAACAGAAGTTCATTTTAGAGATCATATAAAGGGAGGCAGAAACACAGTATACCCATTTAGTGGTTCTCATAAACTGTAAAATGTTTGGAACACTAAACACCGTTGCCTCTCATTTGTCGAGAGTAAAGTCCACTAAAAATGTACGTGAGGTGACTGTACAGACAGTT